TGAAAATATGACACACATGAAAATGTCACAGTTCGTATCACTCAAACACACTCAGACTTGTTCGCAGACCCAGACGAAAAACTGACCGACACCACGAAACTGTTAGGTGAGATAAGAATGACATCGTACTCTACGGTATATAGCAAGCATTACCCATACCTTGCTTCTCTCAGAGGAGAAGTAGAAAAATAATTACATCAGTTTTTGCGCGACGGCTTTATGAGACTCTCACGGTCGCCGTATAAATCATCGACTATAGGAAACTTAAGGCGGTAACAATTTCGGATCGGTATCCAATCCCTAAAATCGAAGAAATAATCGGACATTTGGGTGAGAACAAATATTTCTCTGTGCTCGATCTGAAAAGTGGTTTTCATCAAATTCCACTCAAGGAGAGAGATATAGAAAAAACAGAATTTGCAGTAAACGGAGGTAAATATAAGTTTACCAGACTTCCATTTGGGCTGGAAAATTCCCCATCAATACGCCCGGGGGTTCTGGATGACATTCTAAGGGAACACGTTGCAAGAATATGCTACTTTTAAATCGACGATATTAACGTCTATAGTCAGTCTGACAACGATCACGCCAAACACCTAAAAATGATCTTTACGGCCCTAGGCAAGGCGAACATGAAAATACAAATAGACAAATGTGAGTTTTTCAAAATCGAAGTTTTTTAGTTTTTTAAGTTTAACCATATTGACAAACGGTGGAAAATCCAATTCCTAAAAAGTAAGGGCTATAGAAAAGTTCCCTATGCCCACCACCTTCAAGGAGTTGCGTTCTTTTCTGGGCTTATCGAGTTATTATACGAGATTTATACGCGATTATGCAAAATTAGCCAAAACTCTTACAACTCGTCTTAGGGGAGAAAATGCCAGACTCTCCAAAAATGTCTCTCATGAAGTAAAAGTGACATTTGACAACAGCGTACTAGACGCATTCAAAAAAATCAAGTTATAGGAGCAGTCTCAGAACAAGACGGTAAGCCTATCACCAGCATATCGCGTACACTTTCCAAAGCAGAAGAAAATTACGCAACGAATGAACTTGCATATGTATTTATACGGAACTGCAAAAATAATAATATTCACCGACTATCAACCTTTATCTTTCGCTCTTAGCAACCATTGTGGTAATGGGAAACTCAAAAGGTGGAAAAGCTACCTTCAAGAGTGCAATCATGAGCTACGTTACAAGCCAGGGACTTCAAACTTAGTTGCGGAAACTTATTTCAGAAATCCCCAAGGCCCTTAAATAAATAGCACAACTGCAACAGTACATAGCGATAATAGCTCGTTACATAAACTCATTCCCATTATGGAAGTTCCAATAAACGTTTACAAGAACCAACTTTTTGTAATACAAATATCAAAGAAAACGCTTAACCCTTAAATTGTAAATGGACTATTCACATCAGAAAACATAATGGGTAAAATCCAGAATATCTACCTCTTACCCTTCGGCACCAACAAAGTACGATACACGCAAAAATTAATAGAAGACGTCACCTTCCATGACGAACAAACAGAAATAATAATGAAAGAACACACCAAGGCTCACAACAGTGCAATACAAAATAAAATTTAAATCTGGAGTAAATTATTTTTCCCAACATTAAAAGTAAGATAGAAACTATGGCAAAAAGCTTCGAAACTTGTAAGGAAAACAAGTACGATAGGCACGGCAAAAGCGAGGTGCAAACGAAGTGTCCTAACCGCAATAGACAAATTTTCTAAATACCCTCAAATAAAAATCTTGAAATCAAAAGCAGCTGAAGACATCAAGCAGCCACTTCGTGAGGTCGTGATCGCCTTTGGTATGTCGAAATTCCTTTTGGAGAACCAATTGAAAGCAACCGTCTACACGACACTGCAATACAACTCAGTAAGCAGTGGTCAGATTTCATTCAACTCTGACCGAAATAAAGAGATGTGTAAAGAAGGATGAAGACCTGATGTTCAAGGCCGTTGAATTATACAACCGTTCATCCGTACACTTCACAGTAAACGCAAGACCGATAGATATTTTTTCGGAACTCAGCATACTAGTGACCCTCAGGAATTATAAGTTACAACAACTAAAATCAGAAAAATTTAAGAAAAAAACAGGATGCAGATTTGCAATACCATAACAGCAAGAAAAAAATAATTAAACGGTATAAGACAGGAGGCACAGTATATGTCACGATAAATAAAAGATTAGCCTCAAAATCGCACCAAAGTACTGAAAAGAAAAAGTAGCAGAAAATAGAAAAACTAATATCAAAACACAAAATGGTAGAATTATCCACAAAAATAATATCAACATTATATTCCACAGGCTATTCTTGCCGACAAATATCCTAGTCTACTCACACTCGCAGCTTATTCCGATAAAAGCAGGCGCTGCAGCCGTATTTTGTACGGCACTTACAGAATTATCCACGAATTATACGTAGAGGAATACAAAATGCCGTTCGGTAACCTATCGAACTGATTAAACGAAATACAAAGAACACACCCATTTTTCCCGAACCTTGCATTTGGAACTTTCCAAGGCCGAAACTGACCTACGACGGCTCAAACTAACCCAACGAAAAGTTAGAGGCACTGCCCACAGCATGGAAATGGTTGATCGGTACACCGGACCACAAAGACCACGAATATTTATCACTAAAATGAACGAACAATTTAAGAACAATAATAATCAATTAGTTATAGAGTTTCAAGCAAAAGAATTAATGAATTAAGCGAAGTAGCAAATAATATAATAAAATCCGAAACTGAAAACAAAATGCTTAAAGAAGAAAAAGCTACTATTCTAAAATATAAGCTTCGTATTTTAAAAGAAGAATTAAATAATTCATTTTACGCTATCGATTGGACTAAAACAAACACAATAAGTTCTGTCATTTAGTATGAAATAGAAATCGAAAATACAACAAGCCGCAGAAGAATTATTAGAATTAGCTACGATTAAAATAGCAACGAGCGGTAAAAGCATTATTTTAAGTTGAAAAAAAAAACTTGGTAGAATTTAGAAACGACACATATTACATATCTGCTGAGAAGCCAGGTGGCTGATTATACAATAGCTAATAGCCAACATGTGCCCACACGAAGAACATTTTACCGGTACGATTCCCCTTAACGATTTCAAAAGTTCAAAAGTATCGGCATCGATAAGGAGACAATGACTTTAAGGGGGACATTCCATATCTAATTCGATAACTGTACAGTAAGAATTTGAGAAGACGAGTACGTGTCGAAAACAATGATGTTCGCAGAAGCAACTCCACCCTTGCTTCTATTAATAGAAGAACAAACAAAAGGCGACGAAGTTCTATCGAAATCAATATTAACAACACAAAAGGTGCAGCAACACCAATCCGACAACCGTGAACGTTACGCTCTCAAACACACTGCTCATTTCAATAGTGGCAGTAATCGTTCGCCTGATTAGGCAAAGAAGCATCTCGCAACAAATCATCGGGGACGCTACTCGAGCAGAAGCCATTCCAATAGAACACTCCAACTTTACCCAAACACGCTATTACATCGCGTCCGAGGATGTCCGCATTTAAAGGAGGAGGAGTTAAGAACAGTTATTACAAATACTAATCATGCACCCAGCGGATTCCTATGAGCCGTCGTGACAGCTCCACCTTGGGCTTCAACATGGCCACTTGACACCAACCAATGAAGCGGAAACGGCGACAGCAGTAGCAGAGGCGACAAGCTAACGGCGACAACATAAAATAATAAATAAATATATATAAATATTAGGCCAAATTTTGTCAAGTTAGTTCTTAAGCAGCACTACAAATAAAAAGATGTGTTTTTTTTTTTTAATAAAAAAAAATGATCAATTGTTTTAATTAATTTAAAATTTGAGTCTCCACCAAGTCACCGTTTGCCGTCCCAATTTTTGCATTTGCCTTCTATAGCTAACACATACGTTTACAAGATGATTTGAACGCTATGCAACTTTGGTGGTCGGCCAATCAATTGCATCTTAATTATTCCAGGTGTATGCTTATGACCTTTAATCTTACTACACCTTATCCTGTCATTTGTACAATCGGCAAGACTTCATTGCAACGTATACTATCTGTTAAGGATCTAGGCGTTCTTTTAGATTCTAAGCTGAGACATGGATTTATTTTTCTGTTAGGGCGTCTTCAATTCTCTGATCCGTCCAGACCTACCAGAAATTATCGCCCCTTTTCCTACGCGCAGAAAATATTACTCTGTACACAATCCATTTCGCGTCTTGTGCAAAAATACAATAGTTTGTATCAAGCTATTTCATTCGAACTTTCTTTCCCTTAATAACTTGATTCATTTTTTTTCCCCATTTATTTGATTTTCTTAAATAATATAGTAAATTAGCATTAATAATAATATTTATTTAGAAATAATATTTTCGCTATTTATACCTTAGTACTCTGTAGGCTGTAATAACGTCACTGACAAAATGAATTATGAAAATGAGCATAACTGGCCGGACGGGCAAATAAAACACCTCCATCGTGTCGGTGATGCTATAGGAAAATTGTGTATTCTAATTAGGCTTTGGACATCTAATTTTTATATTATTATCCATTAAATAATTAGGAGGATAATCGTTTTTTCCGATCATTAACAAATAAAAAAAAATTTTTTTGACTTTGAAAAAGGGTCATTATATAGTAAGTGGTCCGCCCTATTTCAACATATGTTCTTGTAAAAGACTGCATTAAGGATGGTATCAGATGTACCATGTCTGCAAGGATATTTAAGCTCCAGAACCTCGAAGACTCATTTTAAAAATAATGCAAATATTCCGATTTTTAAACTTATACAAAGGAATTTATATACTTCTTAAAATTTAAAATTGCTTTGTGCTATCTGATCCTGCGAATCCGCAGTCAAATTTTGAATGCTTTGAAACATATAGATACATTAAAACTAATTTAAAAATTGTAATCTAATGGCCATTCATTCAATACAACCAATTTTTATTTTGTTACTTACTTATTGTAAAGTACAATGTCTGGCCTCCAAATGTGATCAGACGGAACGTGTAGCATATGGACTCCGCCATATTCTTTGGGTTCCCACCTTAATTTGTAGTCGTACCATGACTGTAAAAAAAGATGATGATTCTTAAATTTTTTGAATGACATTTAAATAATTGTAAATAACGCAACCAAAAGTACTGAACTGATCTACGAGAATCATACATATGTAAATTTATGTATGTAAAACTATATGTCCTGACTGACTGACTGATTCGTGATCAACGCATACCTTATGTGATGAAGATTCACGCCAAGACGCGAACTTTCATTCGCAGGTTTGGAAGTTAAGTTATCGATTATCGGAAACAAAACGCATCTAAAAGTTGAAGTCTCTAGTTCTTATAGGTTTTGATATCCTTGCGTTCATACATACGGACAGACGGACGGACGGACAGACGGACATGGCAAGATCGACTCGGCTATTGGTGTTGATCAAGAATATATATACTTTATGGGGTCGGAGATGCTGCCTTCTGAGTGTTACATACATTAGGCTTTTGCACAAATACAATATACCCTTATACCAAAGGCAATATAAACACAAAGATGAGTAACGCCCATACATTTTAATGCGACACAAAATTTCTAGCCTGGCCTTTCATTTGGCCTTTGAGGCTTCGTACGGCATGCCTGTCGACTGGTTGTTCGTTCTCCAAAGACCAGACGAACGAATGCCGAAGTCGCGGCTTGCTGATGCTGACACGAGCTACGAAGTTAGTCGCCAGCCTGCCTTCAGCAAAGCTGGTCGATGCTGCTTTGTTTCTGAAGTACATAGAGCGAAAAAGTTGAGAACTTTACGATCGACGCAAAGTGCTTGTGCTTTATCCATGAAATACGTGCTTTATTTAAATGATATATTACCCTAGATATTAACAAATCATTTTACAGGCAAATTTAAGAACTTTTATAATTTTTACACAAGGCGCTTCTTGCGCAATAACTATGTTAAGAAAATAGCACACATAGATTGATTTCACGTTTCTTTTTGGACAGTGTATGCTCGAGAAAAGTTCTTGTCTCAGTCAATGGCGTGCAAGCACCTTTGGTTGTATGCGTGAATTACACATGCATAAGAACTTTAAAGTATGTATGTATGTGTTGTTATTCACTGCCCTGGCTTAAGCTTGCAAGAAACTAATTTTGTTAGTTTTCTTGCGTAGATCATGACCTATCCCGAATTTGTGTTGATAGATCAATTCATTTTGTGTACTGAGGTTGGCTCCGTAGCAAATATGTATTTCTAAGTCGATGCAAATGTTGACCAGCCAGAGACTTTGCCAGAGAAGTGGATAACAACACATTCAAATATGCTGTTATGTATGTATATTCACAAGCAGACAAACATAATTGCTTGCACGGCCCTGACCGAGCCGAAGCTGAGAGCAAATTTTATTTTTAGCTTTTTCGTTCTCTCGGCTGTGAGAGCGCAATGCTACAGATTTCGTTCTCAATTTTCAAAAATCAAGCTGCATAGTAGCATTTTGTTGTATGGCGTTACTTCTCTTAGTGTTTTTATTGTCTTTGCTTATACCCATTTTTAATGGGTTCAGGGTATAAAAAGTTCCCTTGGCAGGGCTCGAACTCGCAACTGACCGCATTACTTGCTGTTAACTTTACTCAACAGCCACACCAGCAAAAAAAAAAATAATAATACTTTCCCCGGTAGGGCTCGAGCTCGCGACAGACCGCACCACCTGCTATGCCTCTACTCAGCAGCCACACCAACAATTAAGTACTTATGATAAAAAAAGGAACTTAAATAACATTACAAAGAAAAGATGGAATTACCATGCTGTTAGAATGCGAAGCAGACGCGCATGAATGTGTGTGTGTACATGAATACAGAAATTCTTAAAGCTGCTGCCCCATTCAATTGCGCAGTTGCATATAACTTTGGTTTTTCTTAACCGATCTGTATGAAATTTTCTACAGTATATCTTATTATATCATAGAATATTTGTGTATTCTGAAAAAGTCAATTGCATTTAAATTGTTGTTTTAAATGGGTTGGCAATAAAAGTTGGGTTATAAACTTGATTTATAGCTCTGTGGTGGTAGCGGGGAGGTGGCGATAGGTATAAAATGAAAGATACTTAAAAAATATATAATATTCTAGAATCAACATATCATGTTTGGTAACTAGCTTTTATTATTTATCCAACAGAAAACAGGATGCCGATATCGATTTTAATCGATTGCTTTGAAACGGAGTAAGTTCTCGATTATCGGAAACAAACTCGATCTGCGCGGGAACTAGGAGCACCTACATCTAAAATTTCAAGTCTCTAGCTCTTATAGGTTCTGAGATCCTTGCGTTCATCCATACGGACGGACGGACGGGCGGACAGACAGACGGACATGGCTAGATCGACTCGGCTATTGGTGCTGATCAAGAATATATATACTTAATGGGGTCGGATATGCTTCCTTCTGCCTGTTGGATTTTGCACAAATACAATATACCCTTATACCCATTTTTAATGGGTTCAGGGTATAAAAATGGCGGGTAATAGTGGATTATCGGCAAGTAAATAAAAACTTCTGGCAGATAAATATTCATTACCTAGAATAGTTTAAATGTTAGATCAATTAGGAAGAGTGAAAGATTTGTCGTATCTGAACCTTACGTCTGGATTCCACCAAATATAACTAGAAAATAAATCTGAAAATATAACATCGTTTTCTATGATCACTGGCTCATTTCACGCGATTACCCTATGGTCTAAACATAGCCCCAAACACAATTATTAGAATGATGCATCTTGCTCTTTCTGGTCTAGAACTATCGCAAGCATTTCTCTACATGGATGATTTAGTTGTTATTGGTTACTCTGAACAGCACATGTTCAAAAATCTTACAGGTATATTTGAACTTTGGAGAAAATCTCAACCTTAAACTAACCTCAGAGAAATATTCATTCTTTATGCACGAGGTAACATTTCTTGGCCATTAATGTATAGACCATGGCATCCTTCCGGATGATAAAAAGTATGATGTAATTAAAAACTATCCAACTGTTGAGATGCAGATAGTTCACGCTTACTAAGGCATGGATGAAGCCAGCATTATTGCAATACCCTTTTTTTAGCAAAGAACTTTGCATAGCTAGAGATGTAAGTAAACATACATGTGGTGCAGTACTTTCAAAAGACATAAGCCCATTCACACAGGGAGAAAGTAATAAATCGACTACAGATCAGGAATTAGCAGCAATACACTGGGCAATAAAACATTTCAGACCCTATATCTATGGAAGGCATTTCGAAGAAAGAACAGATCGGTCTATGATACTTATACTATATACCAGTATACTTATTTTCAATGAAGAATCCTTACTCAAAATATACAAGAACAAGATAAGACATAGAAGAGTATCAATTTACAGTAGTTGAATACCTCAAGGGGAAGGACAACCAGGTTGCGGATGCATTATTTCGCATAAACGTAGAAGACTTAATACAAATAAACAGAAATATATTGATGGAACAAAGAAGATCAACGAAAAGGCATGATAAAATATATGAGCCCAATGTCTACGAGGTCGTTAGTAATAGTGACGCAAAGAAATTCGTAACAAGTAAGGGGTTCTAGTCGGGAACTCCCGACTAGGGATACCCTGAACCCTCTTCTTCCAACATCAAATGCATATATTTATTCAATTTTAGAAGCTATATGTCAAGTTTGCTGACTCTAGCTCTTATTATTTACCAAAATTGCCTAAAATACAGGATATCGATATCGATTTTAATCGATTGCTTTGAAACGGAGTACGTTATCGATTATCAATTATCGGAAACAAACTCGATCTGCGCAGGCACTAGGAGCACCTACATCTAAAATTTCAAGTCTCTAGCTCTTATAGGTTCTCAGATCCTTGCGTTCATACATACGGACCGACGGACGGACGGACAGACGGACAGACAGACAGACGGACATGGCTAGATCAACTCGGCTATTGATGCTGATCAAGAATATATATACTTTATGGGGTCAGAGTTGCTTCTTTCTGCCTGTTACATACATTTGGATTTTGGACAAAAACAACATACCCTTTTACACATTTTTAATGGGTGCCGCGAATAAAAACAAAAATGTATAATTTCAAATGTTTACTCAAAAGAGAAAACCAGATTATTTCACAATTTCAGCTAAATATTTATATACTAATAAAAAATTCAGTTTAGGTCAATTTTTTCAAAGGCCTATTTCAGAGGCCGGGATACGCAAAATGATTAACTTATAGATGTCACCAAGTGAAAAATTTTTTTAATTTGTCACTCCAAATGATTTTAAAAATAAGGCCAACAAACATCTACTAAATATAAATATAGCGCTATTACAAAAGGTGACACAAGTAGACAAAAATGACGAAAGTTAAATCGATGCAATCCTGTTAAAATATCATATCGACCCAATAGAAGGAGGCCATACACGGATTACGCGTAGCTTATCAAAAATAATGAAACTATACTATTTTCCTAAAATTACACAAACCATAAAAAACTGTTTTAAAAACGTGTTTAGACTGCCAAGGAGCTAAAACTACAACATATATAAAAGCCCCCATGATTATAACCAACACCCCAAACACAGCTTTTGACACTGTTTTAATTGATACCATCGGCCCATTACATCGAGAATGGCAATGAGTATGCATTAACTATAATATGCGACCTTACAAAATATCTTGTTGCAATACCAGTAGCAGATAATAGCGCAAAAACAGTAGCCAAAGCAATATTTGAATCATTTGTACTAAAGTACGGTCCTATGAAGAAGTTCATAACAGACAAGGGTACTGTGTATAAAAATTCACTTATTAATAACCTCAGTCTTCGGCTAGCTCTCATTGCGGGCAGACGTCATTTTCTTATTAGTAGAGTCTAATTGGTGTATTTCGTTTGCGACCCACGCGGTCAATCATTGATTATTTTTCTCACATTCTTTCGCGAATGTAGTTAAGTCTTTGCTCTTATAACTAAAGCTTTATCCATCTAACTATGGGACCTCCCCCTCCGGCCCCTAATCTGAGGGGCAATTAGTGTGCGTTGCTCTCTGATAG